ATTTGTTTCTATATTAACCTAAAAGTGTCAACTACCAGAGCTGGAAACAAGAAAATTATAACCTTAACGAAAGAACGACAATGTAAGCATAATGCTATCTATTGGTGCAAACCGAAATTACTTTCTTGCCAACCCGATAAGATCTCCGGACCCAAAAGATAAACAGAAAGAAGGTATTAAACGGTGATAAAGGGCGACAGCGCGAGAACTCGTGAAGAGTAATCGCGCGAGAGAATCGGGACGAAAATACAGAGAAAGATGTCCGAAAGCATAAACGACGAAGACGGTTGCCGTAACGCTATCTATTGGTGCAAACCGAAATTACTTTCTTGCCAAGCCAATGCATAGATGGACACAAGTAATTTCGATGATCATCGTGATTGTTAACTTCGAGGTTAAGATCGTTAACTCGAGATAGTCTAGAACGACTCAAAGCGTATAAATTAATTGTATGAAGCGTGGTTTGGAAACTTTGTTTCGTGCGCTTCGATGGCTCAGATTTGTGCGCCATGAGAGGAAATCTGGGATTCATAGTCAAGGATTGTTCCACGAAATTGTTTAATGCTAACAAAAATGCCGATCGTTCATCAAGGACTTCTTCACGGTAACGTGATCCAATCGCTTCATTTCATCCGACGTGTTGTTGAATGTTTTGCTTTCAGGGGACAAATTTAAATTTATTTCGCCATTCCACAATTACACCAATGCACTTCCGCGAAGGACAAACTAAAGAAGTTCGATCAACGGTGTTAAATTGTCCTGTATCTGTTCCTATCTGCAACAGGAACAAAATTATAACCCAACTAAAACTCAATTTGGTTTTTTTGGTAACTCAATTTATCCTGCATTGGACCTAATAATTAGACTGCAAATTATTCTGCGTGCACAGTGCTCATACGCTAAAATTAAGAACACAAGTAAACATACAATTTTAACAAACATTAATGACTCTATTATTCTATTTTCAGCGCAAGAAATCTCCTGATAGAAACAGTCTCTCGTTCTGGTTGTTATGAAATGATTCACGAAAATTGAGATTTCCACAAGGATCCCCCTGGTTTGCAAACAATCTAACTTCGCGCATCAGAGTCAGCGCCGACGTGTCAAGGAGTCAATATTTTGGACGCTAAAAATTCTGTCGAAGAGTCGCTAATAGACAGGCGACGATGAACCCTCGCTATCCAAAGGTTGTTCCACCAGGCGAGGAGCTCGCGAGCGGACGCAGATTACGCCCGTAAACGTCGCAGCCGATGACAGACGAGGCAAAGGGAAATTGAAATTCGAAGAGGCCGGTCGCCTGCGATGGGAAAAGAGCCCCGCATGTCCTCGATGTAGCGGTCGTTCGGGGGATGGTAAAAGTCGCTGACAAAATTGAAGGATCGTCTCCGGGCAGCCTCGTTTCGTGGAAGAGCGCGAGCGCGATAACTTCGATCCTTCCGACAACGGCAATAAAGAAGGAACACGTTGCCCTTCTAATGGCATTTAGCTATTGTCTCTTTACGCCAGAATTAACGACCGGGATTTAGAGAGCGTGGGAGAGCAGCATTTCCAATTAAACGAGCCGCCGGCGCCTCCTTCGAGCCGGTCTTCGATCGGCTGCGACACGGTTTTTTTAAATTGCGGTTTCGAGCCGACCTTGAGACCAAGGGACGTTTTAACGGCCACAGAAATTCTCAACAAGGAGCACAGTTTCGAGCAACGAACATCTTCCTCGCAAAGCGAACATACTTTTTTTGCATCTTCGATCCGACCACGTCGAACAGACGTTGGATACAACGAATGCATTTGCATAAAATAACAGAACGAACTTCGCTTCTTTTCACTACGGTACGTAAATATGAATCATCGCGTGAAGTTACTTGCAGCTCCGTTTGATCTAAATATATATATAATATAATATATAAAATAATAATAATTAATATATAAAATTAATAATTAATACTATTAATATAATATATAATCAATATATATTATTATATATAATATATTATAATATAATATAACTATATAATTATATAATAGTTATATAAAAAATATATAAATATATAACAAAAAAATATAACTATATAAATTAAAATATATAATATAACTATATAACTACATAATAATATAATAACTTGAGCTCTAAATATGAATTTTCCAGCTGTTTCCAGCGATGATCTCGAATGACGTTACCGAATGCGACCGTGCCGGCTGTGAAATCGTCAAATGTAGCTTGCCACAAAACAGAATAGGTAAAAAAACAAAACAAATATTTATTAGCAGTCATTTTTATTCTCCAATTCCTCATTTTGAATGCTTTATTTCTCAAACAAGGTTAAACATGAAATGGTCTGACCGCCACGAAATCGTCCAATAGAGCTTCTCCAGTAACACCGAACAGTGCGAACGACCATAATCGCGGGCACTATACTTCCCCGAAGAAGCAAAGAACACGATCTCCACCAGGATAAAAATTTCGCCTCGCTTTCCTTCTCCTGTTTACCGAGCGACGATGTTCAACGCCCAAACTGATCTTTGATCGAGACCACGCGGCGAGTCAGTCGACGCGACGATTACGCGCAGGATGTTTTACCCGACGCCAAACAACTCTTGGTAACCTACGCTCGTCGATCGTGACCGAACAGATCGTGTGCGACCAGAAGAACGCTGACATCCAGTTTCCTCTTCGGCGGGAACGGAGGGATGCACCGAGGCAATAAACCCAGCGGGACCATAAAGAGGGATTTCGCGAAAGTGTATGCGGTCAGTAGGGGTGGGCAACTCGGTCAGAGTGTTATACGAAACAGCCTACTTCGACCCCCCCTTATTATCAGGCGTCGTTCTTTCACACAAACAAAGCGTTCTCGAATTTTCAACCCCTTTTTCGAACCCCCTTTAAGCCCCAGAATTTTCAGCCACTCTGAGACTTGCAAATTACAGAAGACAGAGGAAAAGTTTCGAGACAAAAGATTCCTCCTTCCAATGAGATCGTGTCGTAATCTTTTACTGCTGCAGCGATTCAAACTTTTCTGTTATTAATCATTCTCTAGTATACATGTATCGTGTGGCTACGTTTTCTTTGGGAGCTTGACGGCTGCAAGAAAGTTGTGTTTCAACTTGAAAGCGAGAAATCATTTTATATTTTATTGAATATGTAATGTATGTATATGTATATCCCGGTGCCACGAAGCAGAAAACAATTTACGAAAGACTGTAACGAGTGTCCAGAGTCACCCCAATTATGTTTACAATGTTTTAACGAATTCCATCGTGACTAATAAAATGTTATGCCAAGGTTATGTCATATTTTCAGAACAAATTTAAATATAAGTATAATTTATTGGTATGAGTATATATTTTATATTTGATTATCTTATTTTATTATTAGTATGAGTATATTTTATATTTTATTATCTTATTTTATTATCAGTACAAGTACATTTTATATTTTATTATCAGTATAAGTATATTTTATACTTTATTATGTTATTATTAGTATAAATACATTTTATATTTTATTGTTTTATTTTATTATCAATATAAGTACATTTTATATTTTATTATCAGTATAAGTATACTTTATATTTTATTATCAGCATAAGTACATTTTATATTTTATTATCTTATATTATTATTAGTATACATACATTTTATATTTTATCTTATATTATTATCAGTACAAGTACACTTTATATTTTATCATCTTATTTTATTATCACTATAAGTATATATTTAATATTCATTTTTGTTTACTTCACACTTTCTCGTTACCCTGTATCGTCCATACTCGTCAATAGTTGTGTTACAAATAAAATTACCACGTCACCCAGATATGTTTAACGCGGCGTTCAACGCGTTAAATCGGCTCTTTCATTTCGCAGTGGCAGAAAAATTAATTCTCGAGACAAATAATTAATCAGCATAGGCCACTAACGGAAGGACCACCGCGAGCGGTGTTATTAAATAAAAAATCCTTCCAAAGATTTCCTAATCTGCCTAAGAAACCTCTAAGATCCCTGTTCATCTGATAATCGCGAAGCTTCTCCTTCAACTTCTCCTTCAACTTCTCCTGGATCCCGTAACCGGCGACTACCAAAACAAAAATGCGCAACCCTCGCACTTTCAGACAGCCTCGGTTCCGGATATATTTGAGTCATCAGGTCTCAGACTTACCACATATCTCACGAGAGAGCAGAGTATCGTTGTAGAACGAACGCTTATCACGTGAGCCGGGCGTATCCGCTAGTCATATCCTTTCACCCTAATCTCCTCCCGATACCTAGGCAATCGTCTCTCTTCTTCTTCTTCTTTCCCTTCTCTCCGCACTTTTTCCCACGGAAAACACACTTTCCTCTTCGGCAACGTCCGTTTTCCTCGCTGACGACGAACGAAAAACGCACTTTCTACACCCCGGTTTTTCGGTTTTTCTTCAACAACGTCTTCATCCCCTTTCGTTCCAGCCTTCTTCGGGGTCTCGGCGCATAGAAAATTACCCTACTTTCTTCGCGCACAGCAGAAAATAAACCTTGCTCCGCTTCTCGCGGTCCCTCTTCCGGTTTCTTCTTCTTCCTCTTCAAGTTCTATAGACAGTTCTTTCCACAGGCTCTGCGGCAGTTCTAGCAGCAAGAAAGCGACGCGATTGTAACAATCAAAGCGCGCTCTTCGTTCCTCTTCAGGCTCCTCTTCTAGTCCTCTCCTCTTTCCTTCAAGAACTTGCAGTCAGTGTTCCTCCGGTTCCAGGTCTATCAGCGAGGTCTAATCGCGATCACTATGCCAACAAAAAATTGAAAGGTCACTCTCTCTCTACACCTTGTGCCCTCGGTTTCCTCTTTCCATCCCCTTCGAGCGTACAAGTCCCCCGGTACAAAGGAAATATTCTTGCTCCAGTATCGGCGCAGGCCTTGGCAGCAAGGAGTCGACCTAATCGCGTCGGTCACTATGCCAGCGTAAGAGAAAAACACCACTTTCCACACCGTCCCCCTTCCTCCGTCAGCTTTTCTCTCTCAACCCCCCTCCCTCCCTCCCTCTCTATTTATCCTCCTTTTTCGTTTCTCCCGCGGTCTCGCGCGCACGTCGTCGTCAACCAGCGTCGAAACGACGCACGATCGTGTCGCGATCACTGTGCGCGACCAGGTCAGCGAAGCACACCACTGCGATAAAGAGACCACTAGCCGAGGGAGCACACCACTGCCAGGCTGCCAACGGACACGCAGAGGCAGCTACGCACGCACGCACGCACGTACACATCCATGTCGCTACCACCGCCGCGATATTCCCACCACCACCACCACCACTCCTTCTCGCCTTGTGTTTAAACTTATAAATAGATATCTGGGTGCGTTCGATTATATTTATATGTACGCGGCTTCTACCTGTGTGTGCGCGCGTGTCCCCGCGGCTACATGCACGTACACGCACACCTGGACGCTTCCTCCTCCCCTCCCCCTCATGCCCTCGCGGTTTCCACGAACGCGAAAAAAATCGTGCGACCTGCGCTCGCATTATTCATGGTACACCTAGTTACGCGGCCTGCTCTCTCTCTCTCTCTCTCTCTCCTCGATCTTACTCCTCGCTCTCCCTCTCCCCCGTCTGCCCCCCTACCCTCCCTACCCCATTCGGGATTCATCGATCGGATCGTTCGACGCGCCGAACCTCCGGGAAGATCGCGGCGATCGGCTTTTGCCTCTCCCTCCCTTGCTCCACCTCTCTCTCTCTCTCTCTCTCTCTCTCTCTCTCTCTCTCTCTCGCTCTCTCACACACTCGGTAACTTCCGCGTACACGAGGGCGGGCTTGCAACTGTACGCGTAGAGAAAGAGGCGTCGTCGAATCAATCGCTTACCTGCTCGCTGCGTGCATATCTTCGCTCTCGTGCTGCTCCGCGATCTCGTCTCGTGTCTCACGCAACAACCCGCGATACTTTCGAGCGTTACTCTCGGTTCACCCGCAGGGACAACGACTGTTCGAGTCTCCGTCTGGTCCCTTCCTCCTCCTCCTCCTTCTCCGCCTCCGACGCCACCTCCTCCCGCGATCCGCTCTCTCCTCCCGTACCGCCTCGTCCCGTCCCGTACCGTTCCTCTGTCCCACGGAGTCCACCACCTCCTCCTATCCGTCCTCTTCTTCCTCCTCCCCGTTCTCGCCCTTACGGAGAACGAACATTACCCGGCCTCCACGGTGCACGGTCCTACGCCACTGCTACACCCCCGTACTATGCAGCTTCGCGTATCCGTAACTCTCCGTCTCTTTCGAGACCACCGGAAGCTCCACTTTCTTTCTCTATTCCTTCCTCTCCCTCTCGCTCTCTCTCTCTCTCTCTCTCTCTCTCTCTCTCTCTCTCTCTCTCTTTCTCTCTTGGTCTCTCCGCTTAGCCAGAAATCGCAAAAATTCGACGCAGAGGTTATCCCGAGCGCGAGACCGTTCGCGAGAGAATCTGGTTCGAATGGTTCCGATGGTGAAAATTCTCTTCTTTTTTTAAATATCCTCTGTAACAGTCACGGTGACGACGACGACAACGACCACCACGACGGCAACGGCGACGGCACACGACACGTTCGACTCGACGATATGCCGCCGGCTCGACGCCAGCGACGCCTGGCGTCTCGACGCCCACCCTCCCCCTCCTCTACTTATGTGTGAATGCTGCGTGCAGTGTGCGCAGGCGGGGATACGCGGAACTTGTTTTTCGAATCGAAATTCAAGTCCGGGTAATGCGAGATCGGCCGCGGGTCGCCTCTGGCCCGGGCATCGACGTCCGGTTGGTTATTTCTTGTAGCGATCGTGGAGCACGTTGAAGTTCGTTGAAACGTGTAGTATGGTAGATCATACTGCGTGAATGTTTCACCTTGGACGGATGGCTTTTTGATCACGTTTCAAGGACAGCCGGGAACTATACCTGGGGATCGATATGAGTTTAATATAATAAATAATGTAATAATGTAATAAATTTCTCTCGGTGTAATGAGAGCGATTGATTCGAGTAAAAACAGTTTCTCCAAGGCTTTGGTCAACGGTTGAAACGATCTTTCGGGAAAATTTTGAAACGTAGCTATTTTCTGAAATGACTGTACCAGCTTAGACTAGCATTGTGTAAAGTTTGCTCTTAGAATAATTTGTATGCAACGCTACGCGATCAATTCTGAATTTTTGCCGGCCTTTGAAACTCGAAAGTAACCTCGTCTTCGCGCCGAAATTTAATTCCTTCATGCAAGAATCAATATGGCCGAAATTTCGTTGGACGCTGACCGGATTCGACGATTTGAATGTCGTCCGTGTTCGACTGCGCGCGCTGCGATTCGACTTCCCGAGCGAACCAATGCAGCGAAAAATCCATTGGATGCACCGGCGGTCTGTCGTTTTAATTGATATTCCTCGGTTCGATGGCTCTGTTTACCCGAACCTTTTGAATTCTCGTGCGCGTCCTCGACCGCGGAATAAGATAACGGCTGGACGAACGGAGGAAAAGCCGAGTGTCCATTGGAATCCATTTGTCAAAATGTAACGGGCGCCTGACGAGAATGAAAGAACGATTGAAACGAACGCGGTGAAAATTCGCGGGAAAGCGGAGTCCTTGTTTATGTGCGCGTCTATTTATACCATCGTTTGGCAAGATTGTACCTCTTTCGAAGAGGATCGATGATAGCGGAAAGCGTTGCGCTGTATGCAAGCGAGAGAACGAAAGTGAAACGGTTATCTTGAAAGAGAAATGTACGTCCAATCGTGTATGGCGTGTTACAGAGCGTGAAAGAGTCTTTGAATGATGTACTCGTTACACGACGGACGATGCGCCGCGAAGTCGGACCGCTTGACGCGAGGGTAGGTTAAACATCGAATTGATACAAGTGGCGCCATCTTGCGACACAGCTGCCATTTTGCATCCGGGTGCGACGGGTAGGTAAAACAGTTTCGGGCGAAGTGTCCCAGCGATTATCAAAAGAAAACGTTGGCCCTCGGAATCGTTTTGTCATCGTACCAGAGATTATCGTTTCGCAATTAGAAATCTTCGGCGAGAACTGCCGCGGCATTTTTTTTCGTGGGTACCGTGAAGCGTGAGATCTATAATTAACAACGCATCAGTCTACCCGTAGAACCTTAATTCTATTCTTAAACCGTTCCGCCGAAGAAAAGATAAGCCGGGGTTGCCGAGGGCCTGTGTTTTATTTATACAACATTCTCTGTCTGGCTATATTTATATATGTACCGAGAAAGCAACGACTTTAAAACAGTGTGCAAAATAAGTAAGATCCGTTCACGAAATTTCCGAGTTCACGAGCGAGGGGAATCGGAGTCGACGGAAAGCCACTTTTTCCAGCGTTTCGACAGTCGGAAATAATTAATTAAATGGCAAAAGCGATTATTGTATGCCTGGAACGACTGCGAGTGTGCTGATTTTTCGCAGTGATCCCAGCTTCACGCCGATCTTTGTAGCCTCCGGGTTTTTTGCTCCGGATATCTGTACAACGTCCGAATTATCGGGACGGAAATCATTTTAGTTCGCAAAACATTATTTTACAACGTAAACGTTAACCTAACCTAAATCAACGGTCGCGCGTGGAGCGAAACGAAATGTACGTTTGAATAGGCGGCCGGCGTTACGTTTTATAAACTCCGTCCCCGCAAGAAAAAGTCGGCGGATTCGACATACTATTTCGAACCGATACAGACACCGATTGTACAGTAGAAGGAACAAAGGTATTCGCACATTTTTCGTGTTCATCGGTGTTCAAGGACTTTCTCGAGGCGGACGGTTCTAGAAAGGAATACGCGTATGAAAAAGCAAATAAGCAATTTAGAGCACGAACGAGTCAAGAAACACCTCGATTTGTTGTTCCCCGGACAAAATTCCGTTAATGTTAGTAACGAAACGATCACCGGAAACGGTCTGGAATTTCCGGCGTTGCCCGTTGAATCTGTCGTTCCGATTGGAGAGATGGATCGCGTCCGAGCAGAAAGAACGAATAGCGTCGTGTTAATAGAGGCTTAGAGGGAATCGGAAACTGTTGCTGACTCTCTTTCTTTCGGTCGTAAGCCGGCACCGGTTCACCATAAGAACCGACTGTGACGCGTGCCAACAGCTCCGAAATTATTCTGGTGGCCAGTATACCGTTGCTTTTTACTGATCTCGACCGTTCGACCAGTCCGCTTGCTATTTCCCGACGTGGTTTTAACGCGGTAAGTCCAGAAATCGAAACACGATGGCGGCGGTTGACTGTTACCAGAATCAAGCCCAGGCCGAAGGGACTGGGCAACAATCGCAAACGCAACAGCAGCAGTCCCAGCAACAGCAGCAGTCCCAGCAACAGTCGCAGTCTCAGCAGCCCCAACAGCAGCAACAGGCTACCGCCGGGATCCCGGGCAAGGACGACGAACGTAAACTCTTCGTCGGCGGCTTGTCGCGTATCACCACCGACAAGGAGTTGCGGGATCATTTTGGCAAGTTCGGCGAGATCGAGAGCATCTCCGTGAAAATCGATCCCTACACCGGCATATCACGAGGTTTCGCGTTCATGGTATTCACCAACCCCAAGACGATCGACAAACTCTTGGCCTCTGGTGAACATTATATCAATAAACGAAAGGTCAGTGCTATTTCTCTTTTTTCTCTCCCTCTCTCTCTCTCTCACTCTCTCTCTTTCTTTCTTTCTTTCTTTCTTTCTTTCTGTCTTTCACTGTCAGACCATTCAATTCAGCTTACGAACGTAATTTCTCCAACTCTCCGTTCTATCTATCATCTGTGCGTTCATGGTCATATAAGGAATCTTCTTGTCCAGGTTGATCCCAAACGAGTGAGCAAGAAGCCCCAGTATGGCAAAATTTTTGTGGGTGGCCTCACCCCCGAGATTACGGATGACGATATTAAAACGTACTTCGGACAGTATGGCACGATCGTCGAACTACAAACACCGTTCGATAAAGTGAAGAACCAAAGGAAAGGTTTCTGTTTCATTACGTTCGACTCGAAAGAAGTTGTATATAAATTACTGAAAACTCCGAAACAAACGATAAATGGCAAGGAAGTGGACGTGAAGAAAGTAAGAGCTAATCTGGTCACAAGAAATCAAGGATTTTGGGGGCCCGACTACGGGTATGGTTATAGTGGCGGTTATGGCTACATTCCTGAATATTGTAACGGTTATCAAGGCGGATATGACGATATGTACGCAAATTTTGACTACGAAAGTTACGACGACTACGGTAATATGGGATACGGAGCCCAAGGTAAGCCACGAGGAAACGGTCAGGGACCACGTCAGTTTCAGAGACATCAGCCCTACTAATAACAGGGTATATGAATCTTACATACTCGAAACTTGGTGATAAAGCAAGAACATAGTAAGGAGTAGACCAATGTTATTTAGATACAGTCCGAGACTGAGATCAGGGCATTTGGGACGAAAGAGCTTATGAGATCTTCGCAAGATCTGTATTCAAGCCCCAAATATCCTAATCTTTATACGTATGTACATTCGAATGTACAGTTTCTAAAGGAAGGAACAAATTTTTTCATTGATCTGTAGTCAGGAGTGATTTGTTAAATCGAAAAGAATCGTATCTTTCTTTTTGCGTGCGCACGTTTTCTCATGTATCACACGGAACGATCTATTAATCAGACTACGAGAGAGAATGTCCAAATATTTTTTACAAATGTTGAATTTTTCCTATGAAGAAACACTCTATCCTACATATACATGAGGCAAAGTATGAGGAGACAGTAACTAATAGCGAGACCCTATTGAAAATTCAAAGTGATTGATTTACTCCTGGTTTCTTGTTATTCATGATTCATAATACTAGCATGTATATCTTTTAATTTAATACTCTAATTATTCTTTAGCATATTAAGTTGCATTACTAAAGTATTGTTTATTATATGCTTGGTGTTACTCTTATTATTAAAGATTAAAAAAAAAACAAAAAAGATGAACGCGACGCTGTGTTGTCGTTAACGATAGAACCATTTACATCAATCAACAGATTTTCAGTTTGGAAAGCACTTTGTCAGTTAGAAGTAATATCGATAGATATATATAAAAAAAAGAAAAAGAAGGAATTACCATTCATGGACCAATGGTTCGTACTCCTAATTAAACGTACTTCTTCCTCATAAATTTATAACATAAACGTATTATCTATTATCATCTAATTGTTTATATTTTAAAAGTAAGGCTTGTAACTTATATGAATCATAAGGTATCATGATGAGAGATATACGCATCTTCGTATGTAATATGTATATGCGTGTACACATACATAAATGATGTATATGCGTATGAATTAGTACATAATAAAGAACAGTAGCGATTAAGAAGAAAGATAAAAATATTTCAAAATAAATATAATTAAAATATGAACGTCCTGGGTAGATATGCGAAGAGTACGCGAGTGGTAGAGGATGGTTACAAAATATTTTAAGACAACATTTGGAAGAGCAATAATTATTATTATAGATGGTAGCACGAGGTTTCTTTGATAATTTTATTATTTCACATTTTTAGTATCTTTTTTCTGTTTTCTTGATATTTTAATTACCTGTTAATTAAAGGAAAGAAAAAGCTTGCAAAATTTAATTGAGATCATCAATGCTTTGAGAATGTTGTTGTTACTTGCACTCGTGTACTCCTTTATGTGGAAGACATACAAATATGGCAAATGAAAATAATTGTGTCTTGTTAACGCGAACAAAAAGATTCGTAAACACTGAATCAACAGAATGTTTAAGGCATTGTAACGAACCACGTGAAGAAATGGCAAATCATTATATAATTTAGTCTACTACGACATTTCTTTCGCATTTGCTTTTGAACAGCAGTTCCTGTCTGGTATGCAAAGACTGCTCTTCGTATCGCGAGAAAGACTGTTACTATGTAGAGTATCATGCGATAATGATACATACTTAGGGAATTTGACAGCCAATAGAACTTGTGATTTTCTCGACTAAAGAAAAAACAAAGAAGAAGGAATGAATAAGAAAAGAACGATTATATAAAAAAAAGAGAAAGAAACGACAACAAGATTATAGCAAATGTAGATATGGCATTACGAGACTACATTTAGGTACATCGAAATTATATTATACACAAGGCTGATAAGGCTTTAAACATTCAAGTTTTTCTCAGATGTTACAAAAGTATCGACAGTTTGGCTTAAATACGATTAAACTAAATAAAAACACAATACGCAATGACTAGCGAGAAACTCGTTCTCTAAATGAAAGAATTTTAAGCCAAGCTAATTGTGCTTTTGAAATTAAATCTGTATACTATGTATATAA